CGAGGAAATTGAAAACAGGAAAATCATGGAAAAGTCAGGGAATTTTACGATATTCTCCAAAAAATAAAAATTCTTAGCTTTAACAAAATGCACGCATCACACCTTCGCAGTTTTGGAATACTACCAATTTAACAATTGAATGCAAGTAAAGTCACCAACATTAATAATAATTTAATTTTGCTAAATTGCTCAATCAATAAAATCTTCGTTTGTTTCCAAATTAAAATGAAAATACAAAAAATATTATTTAAAGCGTCAGAGGGAAAATCATGACATTTTATCTGGAAATCAGAGAAAAGTCACGGTATTTTATGAGGAATTTGTGATAACCCTGTAAAAGAGCTGTGTCTTTTATCCTAAGTTTCAATTAAATTAACGCTTATCTAGAGCTCAAGTCTTTATGATTCCAATGAATTTAGATAAAGAGTACAAGTGCAACCGTTCGCGCTTCCCTTCGGCGGTATCTATGTCTCTCATCGGATATTTTTTTCACATTTTGATTGCCATCGTCATTTACGTCCGAGAAGCGTCTTCATAATTGAATCAATGTTATCAGACGCGAGAGTTGCACACGGGGGGGAGTACCTCTTATTTTTCGCTCTATCCCGCGGCTTTGCACCGCGACCGTTTCTCCGCGTTTGGAAGGCGGATATCGCGGTTATGTCGCTTATGCCCGCGGACGTTAAGATTAAGGCGGCGATCTCGCGGAGTACCGGGAGAGACCGTCTTTTACGGCGGCGGCTTGCTGTGAAACCGTACGCCGATTCTCGATGGCTTTGCGCCATCATTCTACAACCCCGTGGCGAACCTTAAGTTCTTCGGACTCCGTAAGAGTCCTGGCGAGCAATCCGCCTCCTCTGCAGACTCGGCTCTGTATACTTCGGGATCTGACACTCTTAAGAATTGAGCCTCGATGAAAGTCGCGACGAGTTCTCGTAAAAGAACACGCCATGATAATCTCGCGTTTGGATAATGATGTAGCTGGTGATATAGAAACGTGCCAGGAAAGTGGACTGAAGAAAGGGACGAGTAACATTTCTACATTAATAAATCAAAACGAATTTCATTGACTTTACAGTAGATGCGGCCCTGCTTCTATGAATTGAACGTTTAAAAACTCGCGGGCACCTAATGCGGTTACAACAATATGGTTAATTGAACAGAACAGAATATTCGCGGTGCTTAGCTTCGCAGCAGGTCTATTATTCGAATTACGACATGGCCGTCTCTCTCGGCGTGATCGCGCCGAGTTCCGCATATTTTTCTGAACCTTACGTTGGGCACGATAACGTTATAATTTAGTTATTTAGTGCACTCGAAGGATCCCACGCTGCTGCTCGTGTCGAAAAAGTTAAATGTTATATTCTAGGATTGATATCATAAATTCAGTATTGCATTTTTCGAGAATCAAACTCGGCTTGAAAGCAAGATACGTGGAATTTCTGAAGTTATCTTATTCCCGATAGTTTATCTCTTAGTTTTTTTCATTTCTAATTTAATAACTGATGTGGCACGATTGACTGAGACGCTAATTTAGAGACTTACTTTACTCGTTATTAATTACTGTCATCGTAAAATCATGAATCGTTATCGTAAAAACGTCATTACAACATTTCTCCGCGATCGCGATAAATAGGCTTGTCTCATTTAAAGCCTATCTAATGTAAGTTTCGAGAAAAGGATGTTTGAACTTTTACTGTACAAATTCATCTTGTTTCGAAAAATCGTGGGAAAATCGCAGCGCGTATCTTTGACACGTATTTCAATGACACTAAAAAGATGCATCAACGACTTACGTCTCGATTCTACCTACGATATATATATATATATATGTATAATGAAAATAAGTAAATCAGTTTACGCGCGAATTCATTCTACATTCCCCACGATGAGATATACATTTCCTCCGAACCGTGTTCGTGTCAACCATTTCATTTCATTTTTTTTTTTTCCTTTATTTTCACAGTCGCGAGCAGAAGAAACGTCTGATCCCTTCAGCGAATGCGACACAATGAAATTGGATTAAAGTCGTGCCCTCGCTAGTTCTCGTCGGCTCGTTCTCTCTCCGCAGCGACGCGACTTGAGAGTAAGAGAGGAGTTTTAACGATCTACCGCCGTACAAATTGTCGAGATGCTATCATATCTCAGCGGGGTGAGAGAACGGGGGTAAGAGAAGCAGATAGGATGATATGACGCGAGAGAGATGAGAAAGAGAGAGAGAGAGAGAGAGAGAGAGAGAGAGAGGCACGGAGGGAGGGCAGCGAAGGGGGCAAAAGGAGAAGATGCGAGGGAAGATTAGGGCGGCATCTCCCCACGGCGAGGTCGGTAACAGAAACTGCTGTTGGTGATGCTCTTGATGCCGCACCGCAGTCGCTCTCGCTGCCGCGTTTCGCCGCACCACCACGTTCTCCTTAGCTATGCCCTCGTATCTGACGTGATTCGTACGTTGAAGATTCTCAACAGTAAATTACAAAATATGCTAAGCGGCCGATATAAATCAAAAGTAGGGCCCGCGCGAGTCCCCCGAGGGGTGAGAGAGAAAGAGAGAGAGAGAGAGAGAGAGTCCTTTACCCGTCGCCTGCGTCTCCCGGATTCCACGGTGCAAGGGGTAAGGGTCCTCCGCATCCTTCATGAGTCGACCGAACCCAAAATATAAGGAGAGAGACCCCTATCACGAATTGGGAACAAGGGAGAATCTCTTTCCCTTTCTCTCTTTCTCTCCTTCTTACGCAAGGCGTAGAACGCCGATGCGATGGTGCAGTTTGCAAACTGAGCAAATGGACCGGAAGACTCGAACGCGAGATATAAATAGGCTTGACTGGAGAGCAATATATCTACCCAACTAAACTCCACTAAATTGCTTCCAAGTAATATAGAAGAGAGTGATGTAGAATCGGGAACGTTCGCGGTTCTGTATGAGCTAAGAAAGAGTGAGAGTGAGAGTGAGAGAGAAAGAGAAAAAGAAAGAAGGGGGAGAAAGAGAGAAAGAAAGATCTATTTATCGACGGCACGCTGCGTACTACTCATTTAAGTACGAGAGATTTATGGAATATCGATAAACTCTCGAAGAGAGAATTGTGATCGCTATTTCCTCTCGGACCTCGTAAGTGTAATAATCTACGTAAATGGGGGCCTCGCGTGAAAAATTCGGATCATTTTATGCCTCTCGTGATATCAACAATTTTACAATTTTACATTTTGTCTTAACATTAGAAGAGATATCTAATATATATTCATGCGAATAGATTAACAAGAATTTCATTCATCGTTCAATAATATATTTAAAGAGAAAACAAGTTAAACGTACACTATCAACGTACAGTATATATCGGACTGATGCATAGCCCTTCTCTGCATTTATCTCGCAATTAAGATAACAGAAATATATCTACGTTTGATAGAACGCGAATCACCTAATTAACGCGTCAAACGTCTCTCCGCGCTAGTCGATTTTACACGCGATTGTTCCGCGCAATCGGTCGCGGTAACGAATTATGCTCACCGCGAGCGCTCAATTACGTGACCGAGGCTATTAATCGAGATACGGCGAAACACGAATAGCTAATAACGCGCTAAGAGTGTTCGCTGCATCGGGACTATCTGCGGATCTACGCTAATCGAGTCCTCCCGATGCACCCGGTGTACGTATAGCCGTCACGCACACGCACGTCTTTATGGATGAGCCACGTACGCGGTATACGAGCCGCGCTGGCCACGTGCACGCGCGCGGCCAGCGCGCTTCGAAATTAAGTGCATCGAGCGAAGAAGAGCCGCGCGAGTGCATAAAATTACGTGCGTTACATGCAAGAGCGGCGCGAAAGGTACTTTTGCAGATTGCTCTACCAAGGCTATGCACTTTCGAAAACATTGGGAAAAATCATTATCCTCTCAGTTCCTCTTTTGTATAAATTATTATAACATGGACGAAAGTGAGTGAGTGAGTGAGTGAGAGAGAGAGAGAGAGAGAGAGAGAGAGAGAGAGAAATAATTGTATAAAAAAGTTACATAAATACACAGGTAAAACGCAAGAGGTAATTTAATTCTTAAAAATAGATAAATTGTTATTATGGCATTATTTTAAGGTCGTTAAGTACTGCAAGGATTAATTTCATCTTATAATGTATAAACCTTTCAATCTTATTCAGACTTCACCCTCCGTAAGAAGTGTTTATATCTATAGCTTCAGATTGTTATATGATTTAAAAGCAAAAATCAGTTTTAATTTAAAAGTTATTTTTAAGGAAATTTTTTTTGTTTCTGTCCCAGACTCTGCAAAAGTTCCAGTTAATCTTAACGGAGAGTCTGGAGAACGCGAATATTTCTGAATTATTTAAATGCGCGAGAAGCGTATAAAATCTTCCTGCATTCGCATAAGCGTGATTATATTCCGCGGATCGAGCCGTGGAAAATCGCGTTTCTTTCCTTCGCCTCGCGTATGATTACGAAGCTTGCACGTGCGGATGAGAATCTGAAATAGCGAGATAGCGAGGTACCCCGCGAAACTTCAAAGTAGCAAGAGAACGTTGCATAAAGCGTGCATAATAGCGGCCGTTGTCTCTCGTTGATTTTTATCGGAGATAAAATTCATTCACATGACGAAATTTTACTTTAGAACTGAACAGTCAGGTATCATGAAAAAAATGAAAAGAAATATTTATTACCAGAAATAAAACGAAGATTTGAAGGTGATCTGATGACCAAACTGCTCTTTAAAACTTTTAGAGTAAATCTCTCTCACTGTAAAGAGAGAAATCCTCTCTTAAAGATTGAAAATTGAGCCACTCTTTTCCAAGGCCGGCTCAATTTTCACCCTTTGGAGTGAGATCCCATTTCAAAAAGTTTCGAGGGTATACATAACGAGAACTAAACATGTATGATTTCGGAAAGTTATGAAAAACATCTGGAAATTCTTCTCTGTATCGCTTAATCGTATATTATACGATTCCGCATTTCGAGTCATTATATTTACTAAATTTTGCAATAACAAAATCAACACTTACGTCGACCAGAGTTCGTGGGTGGGCGGTAGTTTGACATCCGCCGTTTTCTCGGGCAACTTGTAGTATTCATAGACGTAGGACGCGGCAGGATCATCGTTGTGGTTAGCTACCGCCGACTGATGCTGCTGCTGAAGGTTTAGCATGGCCGCGGTCGCTACGGAGAGCGGATGCTCACAGTAGGCGCGCCAATCGCCCTCCATACCCTGAACCTGCACCTGCACCGCGGCGACCCTCTTATGAACTTCCGAATCGGCGCCCTCGGCACCGCTCTGCAGGGTTTGCGCCGCCGCCTCCTCCGCTCCCAATTCCTCCTCTTCTTCCGGTTCACGCTGCCCGGATACGTAACTTTGTTGCTGCTGCTGTTGCTGCTGCTGCTGCTGCTGCTGCTGTGCGTCGTCGCTAACGACGGTACCGTTGGTGTCCTCCTCGCTGCGACTGCGTCGCCTGTAATTAAGTAAAGATTCGTTTAATTACTAAAACCACGAGCACTCGACCGCGTACAATTATCTCACGGAGCATAATTGCATAGATATTTAATTACTATGTTTAAGTTGTACGCATTATCACTTACAAGTCTATCAAAATTACTACGTCCGATTACTACGGCGTAAAATGTAATTAGCGCGAGTTAATAGAAGGTGCTTTCAGTGTCGCTGGAACAACATGTTCTATAAACCCATCAGGAAAAGGAAGTATACAATATATCTACGGCCGACAATTTTCATCGAGCAGCCAATTCTCTCTTCTGCTGTTGGCGATGACCATAAGCGACGCTGCGACGTGTCGCATAAAAAAAAAAGAATGGAAAAAGATTTCCCCCGAAGGCTGTGGTAATGAATGTGCCGCAGGATAACAGTTAGAAATAACCGGGCCCGGCAGAATGTAATAAATTACAACGGACCCATCGAATTTATCAATTAGCGATAATCGCGGCGCATAAGCCGCACTGATGATTCTTCAATTTAGCAATGACCACCAACGGTGGAAGTGCATCGCGCATCGGCGGATAGTTATGCCGGTAATTTATTGCCGTCGCGTACATCGTGATATCTAATCGCATCATGCGTGCGCCAGAGAAAAGGAGAGAGAACGTACGCGCTTTCGACTCCGAGCCACCTGGATATTTGTCATCAGTCGTTACTTTCCGCCGAAGTAATACCTTCCGGCTGCTTTGCGGGGACGATCAATGACGACAAGATTCGCAAGAGTGCGCAAGTACGAGACAAGTACTTGAGCGTGCGTTTCAATGAAAAAAAGTTCAAGCGTCATGTGGCAAATCAGGCTACCGATTTCACTCGGTTACTTTTTACGAATATTCAAATGGCAGATAAGAAAGAATTCTGAAATTTCTATCTCTACACTGAGAAAGAAAAGAATTGGCTGAATATACAATAGTAAAGTATTTTTAATTGGTTGCAGCAGCCCCAATTAAAAATGCTACGCCATATTTTACCATCTAATTTGCTACGGCAGCCAATCTTTTCTTTCAGTGTACTTTATGATTCTAACATGGCGCGTACGAATGTATTTTTTTAAATCCAAGCTACAGAATTTTATTCATTGCATGGTTTTTACTTCGAAATTTACATTTTGACGCTTGCCTCTTTTTGCAAATACGCGCATCACCTGTCTGCGCACGTCGGGGATAAACTTAATCGCGGATCGAGAAAGAAATCTCGCGCATTGCCACCGGGTCGGAGCAGATGACGAGGAGACGGGCGACGAAGGACGAGGGGGAGGGGAGGGTTACATCGTAAATACGTATACATGCACGAAGATTAATTATTATAAACCCCTGCCTGTTGCCTGCAGTCATCAATTTATACTCTCCTCTCTCGTGCATCCCAATTCCAATCCCGATCCCGATCCCGTGAGTCGCACTATGGAATAAAGGCTCATCCTCTCTAATTTATGCATGTCGAATCAATCTCCCTCCTTCCACCCTTTCTTCCTCCGTTTCTCTCTCTCTTTCTCTCTCTCTCTCTCTCCTTCCCCCCCCTCTCTCTCTCTCTCTCTCTTTCTCCCTCTTTTTCGTCCTCGTTTTACCTACGTAT